TTCTGTGAAGGCTTGATACACAGGCTCCACCTCTGGTTGTTGCTGTGCAGAATCTGGTTCCAAAGTGAGTCACAAAAGCAATATGGCCGCATAGTGACTGGGAGTGGTGATGCATTTGGGTCTTTACAGATCCATATTCTGATCAGTCACTTTGGGTTGAGTCTCTTTTTACTATCATAGGTCTGAGGACTGTGTATGAGTACACAAGAGGATCCCAATGAGCCAGAGCATAGGCAGTACCAAGTGTGTTTCTGAGACAAGAAGGAGAATCACCAACTTGTTCTAAGGAACTGAGCCAAGCTTATTTTAGAAAAACCAGGCACCTACAAGATTTATGATGCTTTTTGTTTTTGATTTAGAGTAGAATTTAAGATAAAAATAAAAGTGTTTATGTATGTATGCATGTATTCTGTTCCTGCTGTGTCTCCATTTGCAGAATTTTAGCCTCCATTGTCAGCAGCAGCCTTTCCTCTTCTGCCATCAGATAGCAGCTCTACAGGGCAGAAGCAGCAGGCTGACAATGACCAACAAGCTCCACTGACTTCACACATCCACCTGGAGACTCAGCTGATGCTCAGAGGATGAATGAGGTTTAATGAGGATAAGATCAGATGATGAAAGGTGTAACTATTTGATGGCATCTGTCTTAGACGAACCACGATGAAACAAAGACGGCATACTGAAGGTCTTTCTTTCTTTTTTGTCCCTCATCACCGACTCACACACTCGTTCCTGGGGTTTTACATTGTTTACATACAACAGCTTGATGTAACATACAGTATATGTCTACATAACAATTAGCATTAGCTTACCTCTCTGAAAACATATCACTGGAGCTGCAAAGTTACTCTTCAGCAAACTGATCTTGCACTGAGCTACTCTACTTAATGTCTGCTCAGCCCAGAGGATCCAGTGACACCCAGGACAAAACTGACCCCTAGCCCTGTTTGGGAGGAGCCATCGCCCACACACAGTCAGGACACCACTGTCTGACTGTAACAGTTTTCAATCTGAATTTCAGAAGCAGGGCACGCTGTAAGCTCACACCCCTTCCTCTCCCAGTCATATTTAAACTACCAAGAAAGACTCACTTCTGCTTTCACCTTCTCTGCCCTTTCCCCCTACATCTTACTATCCTCTCTTTCTCCTCTTTCATGCAGGGGGGTCCGCCAGTGCCCAAAGCCTTTCTCCCCAAACTGCAGTTCATAACCAAGTCTACACCAAACACCATTCTCCTCTCACACACTGAGGGTGGGCCATTGCTAGTGAATGTAACGAAGATGGACAAACAATCCGGACACAGTGACAGTGACTGACAGTGGCCCTAATACTCTGGAGGTAGATATTGCCATTGCTGAATATCTGTGGTCATCTATCACAGTTTTTTTTTAGTTTTGACCACAGGAACAACCTTAAGGAAGGAATTTACAACCAAATCTTGCAACTGTAACTGACTAATTTCTCTGAAAGGATCATTACAGTATGGACTTCATTTTGGCGGTGCTGACCTCTTTAAACAAAGTCTATGATTTACACTTGGAGGTCACCAGCTCAGGTTAACCTGAAACTAGGAGGTGCTAAGTCTGCTGCAGGTGCCCTCTGTGTCCTACTGCCCTCTTGGGGACAAACACTTCATTACACTGCAGGCTGGATGATGTTACACAAGAACTGAGGTAGAGTCTGATCTGTATGCAGTTGTCACCATTTAACTAAGTCAAAGCTGCACTGATACATTCTGTACATATACTGGCTTACCCTTCATTTGTAGCTTAGTATCATTCATTTGTATTCATTTTGTCTACATGAACTTTGCTGCTGTTTGCACTGGCATTTAGATACCAAACTGGATTCTACTGTGTTGCTGGACCAATGATAGGTAGTTAAAATATGAGATTTCATATTATTCATATGTTACTGAGAGCTGCTACATATGTGCTGCCTGTGAGCCTGTTATTTTCAGCAGTGTAGATCCCTGTGTTATGCTGGTTGTTGTCATGTCAGGGAGCAACATTAAGCTCAAGATGTTTCTGTCTGCTGTTGTCCCTCTCTGATGCTTCTTGAGCAGACAAAATAGGTCAATAAATTCCTGAATAAACTGAAATGCACAAAAACATCATCAGTCCATTCAGAGGCAGACAGATGAAGCCCCAGCCCTACACATACTGTAGGTCCTCCTGTGCTGTGGTTATTTCTGGCTTTATTCAGCAGTTTGGTGAATGCTGCTTGTTCCTGAGACAAACCAGCCAAACGTAAAGATGATGCAACTGGATCTGACAGCAGATACAGAATGAGATGCATCACCTTGTTAGAAGCGAGGGAGCTCACACACACACACCGTCTGAGCTCTGCTATTTTTACCTTTCACTTGTGTTGTTGTTGCGTCAGGGATGCGGCGCAGCCATGTGGGAGGTCGACCTGAAGAATAAGCTACCGCCCACAGACACGAGCTCATTCACAGTCTTTTAGTCTCAGATTCACACTATAGCAAGATAGCTCAGGTCTTTCACGCTGCATTTCCTCCTATGACAGAAGATGTATCACATACAGGCTTCAGTCAGGTCTCTGCACATGTCTGAGCTCCTGAATCAATGAACTTCATGCCTCACTTGTCATTTCCTTGTTGGGGTTCAGATGCTGAAAGATTACTGTGGTAAACACCTTAATCGTTAATGTTAACAGCAGACTGAGGAGGTTGTGCATGCAAGATACACCTTCGTTGTACACGTGTAAATGGAATTTAACACACAAAATGAGGCTATTTGGGTAATTTAATAAAAAAATTACAGATGGAGCTAGAAGATTTTCAAATCAGCTGACTTCTTTTGGAAACATGGAACAAACTGATTGTAACATATGAATAACAGGTCAAGACTTTATATCTGCATGAAATAAAATCATTTCTACTTACGAGTGACCATGAAAGCATTAATGTGAGCAGAGAAAGTGGAACAAAGGGCTGGACAAAAATAAAAGAAACCAGACTGTGAATTTATTTGGGTTAACTGAGACTGAATTCACATTAATTTACAATAAATACAGGTGCATCTCAATAAATTTGAATATCGTGGAAAAGTCCGATGGGTTTTTGTTAAATGTGGGCCAAAATCATCACAATTAAAAGACCCAACGACTTAAACTGCTTCAGTCTGTGTGTACTGAATTTATATAATACACAAGTTTCACTATTTGAGTTGAATTACTGAAATAAATGGACTTTTCCACGATATTCAAATGTATGGAAATGCACCTGTATGTGGTCACTGAGGCCCTAAACGCATTATTGGAGTGTACTGATTTGATTTTCAAGATCTGTACTGGATCTGATACTCAATTTAGAAAGTAGATTATCACCATTGACTGGACCAGCCCACATTTTAATCTGAAGTTCAGTAGCAGGACCACACCTCTAACCACTTCCTGCCTCCTCAGTCATTCAATGGGCTGTTTTCGCTTATGGTACCACACCCGCCCTATTTTTGTTCACTTACCCCCCCCCATTCGGGGTTTCATGTTTCCACACAGTGTTGTACAGATCAATATATGGCGCATTCCTAAGCTGATGATCCTCCTGCATGACTGTATTCATCTGCAGGGTGAAAACTATACACCAGATCTTAACATTTGACATTGATATTCACAATGATTAAAATTATTTATCAAGTGAAAAAGAGGGATCTGCTGCTTCTGTTTTCTGGCATAGTAAGTTGCTGAGGTTCTTCCCCTTTGGGCTCTGGGAAATTGTGATGCACAATTTTAACTCATTTCTGACACTAGTTTTAAATCATTAGTTCTGACCCTTGTCCTGTGACTTTCATTTAAAGCACATCATATTGTCCCATGAGTAAAACTCCCCTTGCCTATCAAAGTGGTTGTAGGCTGCAGACCTAATTTGCACATATGAAATAATCCTCCTGCATGATTGTTTTTCTGCAAACACTAACAATTTCTTACAGTTAATCAACTAAATGACCACTGGAAGAAATCCCGATGTCCAGATTCTGTTTGTGTATGTGGCAGGTCTGCAGCAGATGAGTGTACTCAGCGTCGACCTGTCCACCCAGACACCTACATAATGATGCCAGCTCCATCTGCTGCCACGACGGCCACAACTCTCAGTAACCGAGCAGCAACAGCAGAGGGAGCAGCTACAAACCATGTGTAGGATCTGGACGGCTCACAGCAAAACATGTTTTTCACCTCTGGTATCATGCCTGCATGCTGTGATCCAGCAGGGGGGGAGGGGGTATTTATAGGCTGATAATGAGCATGTGTCCTTCAAGATCACGTTGTCCACACTCACAGGCCCAGACGTAGCAGAGGACAATGTAGGACAAACTAGTGACAGAACAGGTGAGAGAGGTTTCACAAAAGACCGCAAACACAACTCTACAGCAGTTTGGAAAAACAAAAATGTGTTTATTAAGATGACAAAAAAAGGCCCTGAATACTCAGGAACATTCTCAGTTACTTCGTTACGAAGCAGTGATTTTCCTTTACACAAATCAGAAACAAAAACTCCTTGTTGGAATTCCAAAAAGGTGAAAGCACCACAAAAGCGTCCTATGATGGGCAACCTCCCCTCCAGCTTTACAAACAGACACACATCAGCCAAAGCCTGTGGGAGCAGGGCGTGTTTCCTCCGTTTTCCAGGCCCCGGCTTCTTCCCCCCATATTTGATGTGTCCATGTTAGTCTCTGAAAAGTATTTAGAAAAGAAATGTGGAGCTGCCGTGGACAGAGGTGCAGTGTGTTGTCCAGGGAACACAACCTGTGGCACTTAAGGCCAAAAGGGTCACCATTTGTGTATAAACCAGCATAACCGAGGGCAGTTGAAGGACGACCTAAACCGAAGTGAGAGAAAGGTGGAGGGGGCACTTCCCGTCTCTTTACACCCAACAGTAGACTGTAAACAAAAACAACTATCAACCCATCCCCCCCATTATAGTGATCTGCCAGAACAGGGAACGGCTAGGTTGCACTTCAGCCACGAGTAGACCTCCCCAACCCCCCAAAACACGTGAACAAATTCCGGGCTGCAGTGTTAAACAAAAGCTGAATGACTCAACCATCAGCTACAAAAGAAGAGCCATTGTTCAGAACTTCGTCTTCACACACACAAACATATTCGGTGTGATTTCTTTTCACATCTTTGAAGGTTTACATTATTGAAAATGTGAAAACATGCCTTTCTAAGTAACGACAAGGCGGGTAAAGTGAGTCTGTAGAGGCTCTGACCTCCGCAGCACCCGGACGTCTGACCCACACGGACACATTCAAACATAAACACGGCTCAGTAGCCGGATGGCCAGCGAGCTAGCTTACTGCTAGCCAACGTGGCGTAACGCTACAGACAAACCAATGAAAACGGATAACATTGTGAGACACAGCTTTTAAGTCTGTTTCGTAACCGTCCGTGTGTGTGTTGTCTCAGTTTTGTGTCCATCCACAGGGGAAACGTCGCGGTGCAAACCCGTGCCTGGTTACATCAGCACGGCACATTGTCCACCGCTTTGGGGAAATCTCCACAGTCTGCGGCGGAGAACTGCAGCCTCCTCACGGCTTCTTTAATGAGGTTCCCCGATAAGATTAACTCCTGGAGCAGCCGGTGTGGATCGTCCTCCTCTACGCCGATCCTCTTTTTGTTCCACTGTTTGATTTGATCCCAGTCCTGATCGCCGTTGGATCCGGGGATATTATATGGACTCGCCCTGCTGCTCCCCCGGTGTCCCCGGTTTCGCAGCCGCATACAGCAACCGTTTCGCGTCTGAACTGTAGCTCCCGTGCTACCGCTGATGATAGCCGCCGGTTTGACACCGCCGGTGCTGCTGCCGGTGAGCCCATGTAGGCAGGACATAGACACGGACACCGTCTTCTGGTGGCCGCTGCTATTGTTGTGGAGCTGCAGCGCTTCGCCGATTTTCGTCACCAGCGCGTCCACTTCTTTGGAGTCGACGGTGACGGACTGCTCCAGAAAGATGTAGTTCTCCTTCCGACAGGGCATCGTGGCGGATATTTGTCGATATTCAGGTAGAGTTCTCTGTCTTCGTTGTCGGGATGGACGAGAGCCCCCAAACCGCTCCTCGCTCTCACCACGCCGCTCGGCAGTCACCAACAGCCCCAGTTGATTTGTAAACAATGGGTGACGCGTTGTGGGTTCTACCATATTCCCCGGAGGGGGGCCGAGTTGTGCAAGTCAAAATAAATCGCACCAAAATGTACAATTCACGGAATGAATCGTCAGACTATCACTTAATATATTATCACGTTATGTATAATTTCCCAACCCAAATAGGGATCGAATATGCTCGCTTTTGGTTTTCTGCCGACACTCTAATACCCCTACCACCCCGACCACGTTGCGGCTTTGGACTGCTCTCTCTAAATGGGCATTACATAACTGATAACTGTCTGCCGCTGTCTGTTCAGGCAAAACAAACAAAGCAGGAGTATTTTATTAAATAAAATTGTGAAATCATGTTGAATCTGCCACAGATGGCCTGCCGTTTTATTTATCCAAGTGTCAAAAGATGTTTATATGTGAACAAGCATGTGCTGAAACCAAAAATGATCAGAATATGTTGTGTAACCAGTGTTCACTACTGCACCAAAATCTGTGTCCCTTCAGATATTGTGACCTAATGGCAATTGCAGCTATATCAGCACATCATAAACACTTATCACATACTTAATTTTGATAGCAGCAGATACATACAAGGTTCCTCAAGGGTGGCACATTTTGATAGGTGTAAAGAAAACAAACTGACCTCAATGACACAGAGATGGTCACACAGGTCTGCATACTGAGTATATATGATATAATAAAACCACCCATCTATGCACTGGACCTACAAAAATCACCTGTTATAGACTATAAACTATGTCTAAATACAGTGACAAAAAGTCAAGCATGATGTCCTCAGCTGACTCAGGATCTGCCTCATGTAATTCCATCTGTACTGTTTACATACTCATTTTGCACATGCATAATTGCACACGCACTGTTATTTGCACTCCACAGCTCCCAAGTAGCATATATTCTCTCTGCATTATATTGTTTTCGTTGTATTTTCATTTGCTCCCTTCACTTGCTGCTTTAAAGTGCCTCAGATTTGTGCTTTTACTGCCTATTTAGAGGCTATTTAGTACCCTGACACCCCACAACAATGCGCCACACAGTGTTACTGGGAAGGTGTTTTGTGGATTGAGAAACTGTTGAACTGTTTGGGGAAAATACACACCATACATACTGTATGGGGTAAAAATGGCCCTACATGCCAGCACAAAAACATCACACTCTGAAGGTAGCATCATTATTTGATGCTTTGCTACTTCTGGCCCTGGACCACTGCCATCATCCGTTGGACAATCGAGGTATCCTACAGGATCATGAACCAGTCTCACCAGAAGACTATGGCTGAGCTGAAGATTACAATGGCTTGTGTGTTATTAGCTTAACCACATTGTGCTTGTAACTTAGCTGAATATCCAATCACATTTAGGACCAATTCATGCAAGAAAAACAGGTAATGCCAAAAATATTCCATTTGTATCTTGCCACTGTTCATAAATGCATTTAAAAAAGCTGGCAGTGTGTAAATGTACAGAGCAGCATCTGGTATTCAGTGTGCTGTCTGTGATAGTGGAAGAGGAGGGAGGGTGTGTGTCTGTGGGAGAACACAGTGTACATTTCTGTTTCTAAGAAACAGCGGTTGGCTGAACCTGATGCTCTAGTCAAAGGGAGAGCCATCATGACCATAAAAGGAGCTTCTATCAATGCCACCACGTGGTGTGCGAGCCAATCACAGGGCCCAGCTGAGGTTCCCTGTATGTGCAATAGCAGCAGTTGAAGTCCAGTCATAATGGATTCCAGCAAGGTTGTGACAGTTAAGAGCGACACCCAAAACTGAAACCAAGATAAACTGTCAACACTTCCTGAGACACAAAACAACAATACTACTGTTCAGTCAAATTACTATACCTACACTGTGCTTCTTACAGTATATACAGTATTGTGCAGAAGTTTGGGGCACTAAAATAATGCTATAAACAAGAACAACTTCTCTTACTTCACGGGGTCAACAGAATCGATAAAAACTTTGTAAGCCCATACAGCAACCACAGAAACTACAGCTTATAGATGAAACTAAACAACACAGGCTCAAAAATGGAACCATACAGCACTCTTGTGCTGCACTGAATTGTGTTAAGGTGTTCCACTTTGCCCGCACACGTGTGCCTTTGTGTTTTAGACCTGAATTCATTCTTTGACTCCATGATAAACATTAAAAATGAAGCAATGTCACACTCTCCAGTTAAACAAGACAATCTAGAAAAGTCCATGAGTGAGATGAGTCATGTTTTAGACTCCTTCCCTCCCTCAGGGCCAACCTCCACTGCTGGATTCTTTGTCTCCACACTGACAAGTCAGTACACAGCACTGGGAACTGAGTTGGCAGAAAAGTGGGTCACACACTTCCTCATTCTTTCATGTCTTCCTGTATGTGAGTCAGCGGCTTGGTAAACAGCTTTACCGCCCTGAAGATACAATTCCTGTTTGTTTGCAACAGCAGCTGCTGCTCTCTCACACATTGCCTGAGCTGACTGCCACAACAGGAATTCTTATGTGTGTGTTTGTGTGCAACCACTGCGTTGCTTTTACTGGTCTCTGTAGCGAGCCTGGGGTGGTCGTAGACTGGGCCTGGCCCCAGAATGGTCCCACTTCAGACTGTCACACTGCATGAAGTCACGCTCCCAGCTTTGGAGGGTGCTCTGTATTTATCTGTATCACATCACATCCATTATACTTTAAGACCAACCACAGCCCCCCCCCCCAACTTGGTGCGAAAGTCCAGTCTGAAGGCTAGTAAGGTTTATTATTTCTGAGGATTCAAACAAGACTCTGTGACACAGTGGTGCTATATCCACATAACAGGATTTTGATATATAAAGTAACAAAATTACATTGTTTAGTCAGGTTATATAATGGCAGATTAATAGGCAGGCCTTCTGAAATGTTTTTTTTTATTTATTCCTTGGTTTGTGACAGATCTGGACTGTGTATCTATAATTTATGCGCACTCTTTGTTGCTGCAAATCCTTTAAACCTCTACATTTTGTGGTCACTGTTATGACTGCCCTTGGCTTACTTCATAGCAGGCTGTGGTGCCACTGAAGGCTGAATGGAGATTGAGCAGAAAAGAAAACAAGCCTCACAGCCAGAGGATCAACTTTGATAGCAGTGGGAGGCAGCCAGCAGCTTGAGTTCACAGAGTTTGTTTCCTCCATTCAAACAGAGAGGCGCCATCTTTATATCACCTCCTCCTCTCTGACACACCAGACACACCCCCTTCTTGCTCTGAGAGGAGTCTGAGGAGGTTGCACATGGCAGGAAGTAATATGAAAGGATCTGTTTGTTGTTGCTGCTGTGCTGTAAGCCTGCAGGCTGTGGGAATATATTGTAAACATGCACAGAAACACAGCCTCAATTATTAACAGCAAACTGAATAGAGAAATAATTGTATGTGTTGTTAAGTTTCTGAAGCTGACTGAGGGTCACGCAGCACTGAAAGGTTAATACATGTCCCATTTTTACAGTATATGGTGCAATGGGAGTAATGTCTTTCGTGGGGGGGTTCTTCCTGAAGTCCACTGTCATCTCCACTGTTTTGAACTTGTTCAGCTCCAGGTTGTTGCGGCTACACCACAGGACCAGCTCCTCAACCTCCCGTCTGTAGGCTGACTCGTCATCGTCTCGGATGAGACCAATGACCGTTGTATCATCAGCAAACTTTAGGAGCTTGACAGAGGGGTCCTTCAAGATGCAGTTGTTGGTGTAAAGTGAAGGCAGCAGAGGGGACAGCACACATCCCTAGTTGTCTACCAACGTTTACCATCCAACCTGACAGAACTGGAGAGGATCTGCAAGAAGGAATGGCAGAGGATCCCCAAATGCAGGTGTGAAAAACTTGTTGCATCATTCCCAAAAATGATGATGGTGTTGAATGCTGAGCTGAAGTCCACAAAAGGCCCATGCATAGGTCCCTGGGGAGTCGAGATGTTGCAGGATTTAATGCATCAATCCATGTTCACTGCATCGTCCACTGACCTGTTTGCCTGGTAGGCGAACTGCAGGGGGTCCAGCAGGGGGTCTACGATGTCCTTCAGGTGGGCCAACACCAGTCTTTCAAAGAACTTCATAACTACAGAGGTCAGGGTGACAGGTCTGTAGTCGTTCAGTCCACTGATGGAGGGTTTTCTTGGGGAGTGGGATGATGGTGGAGCTTTTGAAGCAGGAAGGAACTTCACACAGCTCTCTCAGGTTTGGCGTGTAAGGACGCCAAACGGTGTTTGTGGTGGACTCAATTATAAAACCAGATGAACTGATTTAGCGAAAGGTTTTTACTTGTTGCAACTAGACAACCAATACACAGTCCAGGATAAACAATCAGGTTGATAAGACAGTCCAGGGTCAGCGCAGATAAACAGGTATAGCAAGGAGATCCAAACTTGAAAGGTCAAGGGGAATAACTCAGAAGGTCGGTACACTGCAGGCAATCAGAAACTGGAAGGGCATACGCAAAACACAGTGGTCAGAAACAGAGGCAAGGTATGAATGCTGGAGAGTCAGAGTTGGAGTCTAGAACAATCTGGCAGCGTCCTTGTGGGAGGACGCTGCCTAAATACAGGAGAAAAACAGGTGTAAACAATAAGGAGCAGGTGAAACAAATGCGAGTGATGAAGAAAGTAAAAAGACCAAAACTGTGGTGAAACAAAACAGAAAGTGTTTTATTTTATCAAAATAAAAGCCTGACAGGAAGCAGTGGCACCGAATCATGACACAGCTCCAGTGACCCGTTGAAGAAGAGTGTGAAGATGGGGGCCGGCTGATCAGCACACACTTTCAGGCAGGAGGGGGTCACGCCATCTAGGCCTGGTGCCTTTGTGATCCACTGTTTTAAAGAGGCCATGCACATCCTTTTCACAGAATGTTAGAAGTAGGGGGCTTGGGGGGAAGGGTGGTAATGGCCGGGGGTCTGAGGTGGTGAGGGTGGGGGGGAGTATTGTCTCTCAAACCTGGAGTAAAACACATTCATTGCTCAGTCACTGTACTGGCTTTACAGATGCTC